TGGACGAAAAGTGGATTCAAACATACATACATACAGACCACATATACATCAATTTTTTCTAACCAAAATTCAAAAATCTCTTGAAACGTAAAGATATGCAAAAATTTTCATTTTCTACTGGAAGTTAATTATAATTTTAAACTCATCGTAAAAAGTTAAGTCTCAAAGTGAAAAGTTCAGTTTCTTGAAAGGTTCATTTTGAATTTTGGCAATTATGCTAAAAAAACGAATTAATTACATCGAAATAAATACCACACAACAAACAACCAACTATAAAACTATGTTATAGAATATATAGATATAGATATAGAATAGAAAATTATCACAAAAAAAACATTCTTTTTCTTTTGATTTTCAAACATTGCCGTTTTTGTTCTGATAGCGATGTCATAATAATTAAGATGATGGCTGCTTATACATATTTTGCCCCTTACTTTCAAATATTGTTGTTAATCCCGGATCTTTAAACCCCGCTTTGCCCTATGAGTTTAACATTTAAGTTATTAGCAATTAAAGCTATACATGTAGTATCGAACCAAAAAATTTAAATAATTACAAATTTGTAAAACATCTCGATTTATTTAATATAATTTATATAACTTTTATAAAGATATAAAAGAAATTTTGTGAAAATATCAAAATATCACTATATTTAATATTTAAAATAAATACTTTATAAGCACAGTAAGGCAATCAATAAAAGGCTTTGGAATATCAATAAATTTTATGCTACCAATATATAGAGTAAATAAATGTATGTGTATATATATTTTATCACATACATCCAATTAAAAAAAGTAATGCTTTCGAAACTCATTTACAAAGTATATAGATATACATATCACTGCTTTTTTGTCAACAACTGTCACCTGAATAACCTTTTTGCATCTCAAACACGTACTTTTATCAAAGTAAAACACAATCCTTCGCACATTCTCTTCCTCCGTTGCAAAACTGGTATTCCGTTAACAATTTCATTATCGCGAAATTCTTAATACGACGATCAGCTCACCATTAAACCTTAATTATTTAACACCTCCAAGTGATTTCGTATTTTTATACATAAAAATAAATGGCTTTGAAGATAATTTCACAAAACCTGAAACCACAATTATTGTAGACGGCGAGCGATGGGCAACCTCTTGAAAAATTATCAATGTTTTCCCACACTGACTTCGTTTCGAATCGCGTGTAAGAATTTATTGGAAGTTATAGGAAAAAACTAATTGGCTTGATTTGAAAAAGATTTTTTTAGTGAAAAGATATTTCTAAAAACCGATTACGATTGTTGTAATACGGAAGATGCGTTTTGTGCTTAGGTTTGTTCACGAGATCGGGTACGATTATAATTAGGAATAAAGGTAACGCTATTTTTTGTAATTGAATTGAACTAAGTGTTTCAAAACTCAAAAGCTACAAGCATGTGGTAAATTTCATTTTTGTTCGGATTTTTTTTATATTATACACTTTATTTTATAAATGAATATTAGTCTCGATTAAGTGAAATTATTTTCTCCTGAGCATACTAAATTATGACTTGGTCATACCTTCATCAAAATATTTCAACAAAATATTATAATCATTTTTTAGAACTTAATTTCAAAAATGTCAATTAATTCGTGTTAATTTAATGTAATTTTTTTATCAGAAAATTAATTTAATTTACTCGATCATGTATTCAAATTGTGGTATCTACTCTTTACAAATGAAATAAAATTTGATTGCGAAAAACGAATTATCATGAATATTTCTCTCTTTTTTGTCTTTTTAAAATAACGTTTTTATTCTTTTTAACCACTGTTTAACCACAGATTAATATTTTGTAATATAGCTTGATCAATTTCCGAACAATTGAATGCTCAATAATTAATAAATTAAAAATTCAAATCCTTATTGCCATCAAGGTAAATTTAATCATTCATAGATATGTAACTAACTAGAATGAAGATAAAGTAAATTATAATTTCTTTTAGCGATCAATATTGAGTTGCTAAATAACTTTATTCTTCAATACATTGTTCATATTCATCACTGACTTTATTTTGTCCCTCAAGCAGAATTATTATGGCTAAAATATATGTGATGTTATTAATGGAATAAGTCACCGATTCTATTTGCCAATTCTGGCCACTTATTTCAACTCAGAAGTTCCAATTGGAACCATCTAGAAGTGACAGCCACATCTACTTAGTTGACAATCTAACAGAAAAAAATTATATCCAAATCATAGAATTTATAGTAGACACCATCAAAATCATTATGTTATTTACCATTCAAGAAGTTTTGTAAAAATCAAACCTAAACATAATCAGATGGTGGTAACTTCAGGACTATATGCTGAATTTGGCAAAACATCTCAGCCAGCTCCAATAATTTTTGCCAAAGTGGCCAAATAGGAATAAGTCACCTATTCTATTTACCAATTCAGTCGCTTTTATCAACTCAGAAACTTTGAAGACATCTAAGAGTGAAGGCCACATTTACTTAGCTGCTAATCAAATAGTAAAAAATTAATATTCAAATCATCGAATTTATAGTAGGCACCATCAAAATCAATATATTATTTACCATTCAAAGAGTTTTCCAATAATTTTTGCAGAGTGGCCAGAAATATGTTGTGTTAATAATGGAATATGTCACTGATTTTGTATGCCAATTTAGGCCGCTTATTTTAACTGCATTTAAGGTACCTTAGCAAAGCTAAAAAATCCATTAAAACTTTCAAGGAGTAAAAACCGCACTTACTTAGTTGCCATCCTAATAGTAAAACAGTAAAAAATGGATATCCAAGTGATAGAATTTATAGTAGATTTTAGGAAATTTCTAATTAGTTTAATCGTTATATTTATTCTTCACTGGGTTTAAAATATCTATTTAAAAATACATAATAAAAAATAGAAAACTTATGCAATATATATACAATTCATACTGAACTTCTTCAAATTTTTGAAGAAACCGCTTTACATTTATTCAACTTCTAGTACTTTTTGAATTACTATATTTTTCATCAACTTACAAAAATAAAAAGTGTTTCCAACACCTATCTTGTGGAACTGTTAAGACATTAACAGTATAGCTTCTTACAATCCCGGAATACTGGAGCTGTCGGGTATCTCCAAGCCAAGAACATAAATTACAACGCGTTTTCTGAAAGTGTGACCACTAGTGTTGATAACAACCGACGAAGGAATAATTTAGAATAAAAGAGATAACGAAGCGAATTAATGGTATTCGTGAACTAATTGAAAGTTAAACAGAATTTAAAAAATCGTAATCGACATTAAAATGAATCATTAGAACTCAAATGGTAATATTGAACTTGTATATTAGTCGTATTTTTGATTTGACTCTCTGTTCAGTTAACTATCTATGTTTTTGGTTTAAAAAATTACAATTAAATACATTTTTAACATTTAAAATAAGAGTAAATACAACAATTATTATTCGATATCGTATATTATCTTTTCTCTATATTTATACTTATTTAATAACATTTACAATATATGCTTAATCTATAATATCTGATTAACTCATTTATTTTATTTTGAAAATTTAGTCTTTTTATAATAGTACGTTAATTACAACCATAAGCTGTTGAATTAAAATCACAATATTTGCAAAATGATAGTACAATAGTTTTTAACAAGCTATTTGAAATTGATTTATATATTTTTATATTTATATAAGTTTTTTTTATAGATATCTCTATAATGCCAGAGATACAAGCATAGTTTTATATTCTTGTTTGATATTTTTTGTAGTTGAATATATATAGAACATTTTAATATCTACTAAATTTGAAATTAATTTTTATATACATTTTCAATTAAGGTTTAATATATAGTATGTACTTTGTGACCCATAGAAGCACTCTTAATTATATAACTACATAATTTACATGAGTAAATTAAAATAAACTAAGATAATAATTTTATCTTTGGTTTTAAAAAGTCTATTTAATCAGACCAATACACCATAACGTTCACAAATTCTTGTTTTATCTGGTCACACAAATACGTACCGTTAATTTTTGGTAATTTATGTAAACAAGTTTTGTGTGTCAGACGACATCATAATGTTTATTTTATACTAGCTTATGTGTTATTATTTTCTTCACAAAGTTCGGATTTTAATTTTTTATACACATCAGAAAATTCATCACTACTTATCACTAATGCTTTTTACACATTTTCACATTTAACAATGTTTAAATCATATTTTGTATAAAATATTTTGTTGGTTTCATATTAGGAGCACAGTCAGGTGATTTTAGTCCAGGTTCCTTTTATAAAAATCACACATAGAACACTTTGTTCCAATAACATTTGAAATTGTAATCAATAATCAATTCAATGATCAAACAAACCTTTCATTTTTATTATATGATTCGTGGTTCAGTATTTGATTAATTTTTATATCCTTGTAATTGCAAATTATTTTGCAAATGGAATTAATATGCAATATTTGTTCAATTAGAAGCATAAATAATAAATGATTGCTAGCGCATTCTTCTGGCGCATGCAAAAGCTGTATAAATCATCTTTGGATGCCATCTCTAAATGATCTATTATCATTTTGCTATAATTTATCGTTTAGCGCCTCATCTAATAGCTAAAGATATTTTGATAAATTTCTTGGATCAGATTTGCTAAACAGTTTACCAAAGTCACTATTATCATATAAATTTCTTGGATCAGATTTGCTAAACAGTTTATCAAAGTCACTATTTCATATTTATAATAATTTCCACTTGAGCTCCTTAATAATGTATAGATTTCTGTTACCTTGATGATATAATTATCTTGATTTACTTCTGACGAACATATACAAATAGTCAGAGTCGAAGAACTATTCAAACTTTGTTAATTTAAATATATAGCCCTTTTTCAATCATTATTCTAAAAGGACAGTAGTTTATAAATTTGTGTGCATTACACAAAATAAAAATAATTTTGGTATTTGCTAATTTCGTAAAGTAACCAGTTTATCATCACCCGAGATTATTGCCTATCATGTTTGGTGAGCTGCAACGGTTGCATCATCGCATTTGCATTAGTGCAATTCCCGTTTCCATCATGATCTTTCCTCATGCCCAAAATCTTCGACTCCATCGCCAAAGTTTTTGTCCTGTCATCCATTTCACAATCAGACTCATCATTGACATTAATTTCTTCATCCGAATCACAATCGGAAATGTCTGCACAATCACTCAAACATCTACCCTGACCCACGCCTCCCAGTGACCTGAACGCACTATTTTCTCCACCCATCACTGGTGGCACCATCCCCGAAAGTGGTGTCGCGTGCATCATCTGTGCAGAATCTGGCCGGTGACCAGATGACGGCCCCCTTGACGCAAACCCTTGAGGTGAGGACATGTGGCTTCGCGACTGAGGTGAGGCTGACATGACATTGCGGGATTGAGGCGAAGAGCGTTTTAGGAGGTTCATGCGCTGGTGTCGTCGCCACTTCGCTCGTCTGTTGGAAAACCAAACCTGGAGGTCAATTTGTGATTAGTTGAGTTGCTGGAGATATAAACTAAAGATAATCTATATACTAATAATGAAATATTAATGGATATACAAATACACATTGATCAGCGATGAATCAAAACTCAATAATTGATAAGGAATAAATAAATAATTCATCATGTGCTAATATTTTACGATAATTCGTATCATGTGCTTATATCTTCTTATATATTAAAATGGAGCTCTTGATCAAATGATTCAGTAAAACTCGAAAACGGCTAAACCGATTTGGTCAGTCTTATTCTTGAAAAATTCGTGTCAATCCAGAGATAGTCGGAAAGGTGAAATATTATTTCAAAATCGCGTAGAAAATTTACATTTTTAATTTGAAAATTTTTGTAGAAGCGTAATTTAAATAAAACAGTGGACGGTGGCTAATACGTGAAACGTCAAACGTTTTTGATAGATTATGTTCAATCGTTTAATGTTTTACGTGAATATTATTTAATTATGATTAAATTGTAGTGAGTAGTTTTGTTTGTTGTTTTATTTATAAAAAAAACCTTAGTAAACGGGCCGCAAGTTTTACTAGAGACTCAAAATATCAACTTTTTTGAAATGTTAATATGAAAATGCACTTGCTGGCATATTTTTCTCAAACATGGTACTCTGAAAGATCTCATTTGTATAATTTTATACTTTTTGGTATTTATAAAACATTTTCTAGATTAAATTATTTTTTATTTGTGTTTTTTAAATTCAGAACCTAAATGTGGTATCGATCAACTGGACATTTTGTCAAATAACATTTTTTCAGTTATAATTTCCCAGAATTTATTAAAGAATAGATAGTAATATATAAAGGTCCGGGGTTAAAAAGGTCCACCACAGATGTGTCAAAAATCAGTAAAGTTAAGCATTGTTTAATAACAATATTTGAAAGTAGAGAAAAAGATGTATAATCAGCTGTAACCTTGATTTGAAAACGGTAATCTTTGAAATGGGAGACATAAACAGTTTTTTTTTAAAATCCATAATAAAAGAGTTTTCTTCCGCTAGTAGTTTTTTAGCATTAGTTAAAAATGTAATTGCTTTATAATTATAATGAGGCTTTAAACCTTTTTGCCACCTGACCATTTCAAGTAACCCCGCCTATATGGTAAAAAAGTCTAGATAACAAATTTTTGAAAGACATCAAAAAAGCACATTTCTACAATGATGAAGTGGAAGGCACTTTACTGAACGTAGTCAGATAATTGTTTGTTTGATATGTGTTATTTGTTGTGTTATAATTGTTATGGTTTTCACAATATAGTTTATATTTGCTCAAAGTCAAATTGGACCTTTGTGCCTCGCCCTGCTCTATATGTATAATTTTTATTAAATTTACTTTAAATCATCGAATGTTTTTCGAAACTTTTCAAAAAGAAGGTCAAAGAAGAAATACATAATTCATTTTCTATCTCTCCTCGCAAAAATTTGAAAATTTTGTATAAGTTTAGTAGTATTATTTACAATTATACCCAAAATCCAGAATTCAAAAAAAATTTTCCAGTTTGATTGTATTGACAAAATATATGCAAACTAATGGGGTTTATTGTTTTTTATAATATCTCATTGTATATAGCATTCAAACATCACATCCTTATACACTTAAAGTATTAACATTTTTGATTCTCTAGAAATTATTTATAATACGAGGTCTGTTCAAAAAGTACCCGGAATTTTCGTTTTTTCAAAAAAATATTTATTTATTCGTCTACATTAATGTGGTCCTCTTCAAAGTAGTCCCCCCCCAGATATAATACACTTATGCCAGCGTTTTTTCCAATTTTCGAAGCACCCTTGATATTCACTTTTTGATATGTCCTTGAGCACTCTCAGCGATTCGGCCTTTATTTCTTCAATCGAGGAAAACCGCCGTCCTTTCATGGGTCTCTTCAACTTTGGGAATAGGAAAAAGTCACACGGAGCCATATCTGGTGAATATGGAGGTTGGGGCATGACTACGGTATTGTTTTTGGCCAAAAAATTACGAACAAGCAACGACGAGTGAGCAGGTGCGTTATCGTGGTGCAACAGCCATGAATTGTTTTTCCATAAATCGGAGCGTTTTTTTCGGATTGCTTCACGCAAACGTCGCATCACTTCAAGGTAATACTCCTTATTAACCGTACGACCTTGTGGTAAGAACTCTTGATGCACTATGCCGTTATAATCAAAGAAAACAGTAAGCAAAACCTTGACATTCGATCGAACTTGACGTGCTTTTTTCGGTCTTGGCTCACCTGGGCTCTTCCATTGGGACGATTGGGCTTTGGTTTCGACATCATAACCGTACACCCATGTTCATCACCAGTTATGACCCTTTCAAGCAAACTTGGATCGTTGTTGACGTCATTTAACAGCTCTTGAGCGATGTTCATGCGATTGCTTTTTTGGTCAAATTTAGCAGTTTTGGAATGAATTTTGCTGCCACTCGTTTCATGCCCAAAACATTTGAAAAAATGTAATGACATGAGCCAATTGATATGCCAACTTCATCAGCAACTTCTCTAATTGTGATTCGGCGATCATTCATAACCATTTTTTCCACTTCTTTCACATTTTCATCGTTTGTTGACGTGCTGGGTCGACCGGAGCGTTCGTCATCTTCAACGTCTTCGCGGCCATCTTGGAAACGCTTATACCACTCGTAGCAGACTCACCATAGGCTTTTTGTAACATTTCACACACTTTGTTACACTTTATTTCATTTTTTACGCAAAATTTAATACAAATTCTTTGACTTTTCAATTCTTCCATTATAAAAATCGCCGAGCTCAGAAAAACACGTCGAACCTTAGCGACTACCACAGACAAAGTAAACAGTGAATATAGCTGAAAATTTCATCATACTTTAGGGGCATGTATACCAACACAATAAAAAAAAATTTTGACAATCAGACACTCCAGACCCGCGAAATTTAAAAATTCCGCGTACTTTTTGAACACACCTCGTATACCTTACTTACTTAGTAAAACAACTTTTGTCGAGTCAGCTAGTTACAAATAAATTTGCAATACTGTTATAATATAGTATAAGGTATTATGATAAGCAATATATTTGTGTTTTTAAATCTTCATAACAAATTGACTTGTATCACTTCTCACTTACACTAATCGCGGATTATTATTAAATTACACTGCATTCATTTCATTTACATAATTTATATGAATTATAATTATCTTTTATCGTTTGGAACATGTTCCAATTACCATAATGCATATATTAAAATCGATAGTTACCTGGACTCGAGCTTCACTCAAAGACGTGCGACTCGCCAATCGTTCTCTCGTGCTCACGCAAGGATAATGAGATTTGTCGAATTCGCGTTCTAATTCCTCCAGTTGTTCCGGGCTGAAAGTTGTCCGGTTGCGCCGGAATTTTGGTTGTTCTCCGTCTAAACTACCACCATCATCTCCATCTACATCTAGATTAAAAGAATAATGGATTCGAATTAGTACAAGCTAGATTAAAAAATATTTCAAGTGTATACATATATATATATATATATATATATATATATATTTTTATTTATTTATTATTTATTTATTTATATGATACAATTCGTACATACTGTATCTCAGTCAGACAATTGTTCTGGTATGAGAGATCACAGCAATTATAACAAAAATCTAAATTTTATGTAAGAGACTTACATTAAGACATTATATATTTTTACTTATTACTATTGTACACACATATATACACAGAACGCTTGCGTACATACATACGTACTTATACTTAATTGTAATTAATATTTTTTACAGAACAGAAGTAATATAGTATTTAAAATAAGGAATTTCATCTCATTTATTTCATTTGTCTCTTATGTAATTTTTCAATCTAATTTTGAAATTGTTTAGGTCGTCCGGTAGTTTTTTGTAAAGGCTGCTTGCACTTCTCAGAGAACTTGCAAGTCCTTTACTAGATTTAGCATGTTTCATGTGAAAGTTTCGGTTTTGTCTCGTTTGATGGTCGTGCATATCCTGGTTTGTCTCTATTGTGGTGCAAGTTTTGATTTTGTTATTTTTTATTTTGAATATTAGTACACATTTTTCTATTTCTATTGTTATGTGTAGTGGTATGTTCTTTGTCTTTTGTAGAAGTTCTTTAGTCGGGGAAGTATATTAACAAAAGTTAAATAAGATCTTCTCATCTTGTGCATAGTTAAAATGTAGGGTAGGGGAGACTGGGTATGTTTGTGCATGTTACAGTTATGACAGTCGTCATTACAGCTAAACTATATTGAATTTAAGGTAGGATCCGATAGGAGAAAGATGAAGTATGTTTGTTGGAACAAGTTTACATTATTATTGCAGTGCTTTACTTTAATATATGCAGTCTGTAATTTGTTCGTCTGTAGATCGAAATTATTTTAAAGAGTCAAAAGTAAGTTTATTTCCTTTTAATAATAACTGTTTCTTATATAAAGATATGCTCTTTGTGTTATTTTGCAGTACGTTTAACATTAGAGTTAATTACCAGCAATTTGTAATGTTTTATGTGGCATATTTAAGTTGAGACATGTATTTCTTGTGCTGTTTAGGTGCAAATTAAACAGATATAGAAAAATCAATCCCAACTTAGATGAAATACAAAAAGGAAAGGAAAAAGAAATATTCAAAACAAGAAAACAAACGATAACACACAGATTTGTTGTTTTAAAAGTTATGTTTTGTTTTAAGTATATTGTTATATTATATATCTGAACGCTGTTTAAATGATTAAGTTGGGTTGTGTTAAATATTTCCGACAATTAAAGTCGATAAAAATAATTTTAGTGTTTATAGATATTATTTTTAAATCTATTTTTACGCTGTCCATACCAGAGGGACGGTTTTGAACTTTTATCTATTTATTAATAACCCTTTTAATTATTTATTAATTCTATGATTTGATTTTATGACTAATCGTATACAAAGACATTATACGAGACATTATATAAGACAGCATATTTCAGTATTCCCTCGTAGACAAATGTTTAAGGTTATTTATTTCACTTTTCTCCCAGCTAACTGGTAAATTCACAAAATTATTGCTGATCAAAAAAAATTGCACAACCATACCCAGTCAACTGTGCATTAAATTTTTCATCGACATTTTAAAATTTAGCATTATGTATTATTAATGTAAAAAGCATTCCAGCTAACTGGTAAATTTTTTGCTGGTCAAAAAAGTGGGACGACCGTACTTAGTCATCTGTACATTAAATTTTTCATCGACATTTTAAAATTTAGCATGATATATTATTATCAATGTAAAAGGCATTCCAGCTAACTGGTAAATTTATTGCTAATCAAAAAAGTGGCACAACCGTACCCAGTCACCTCTACGTCAAATTTTTCATCGACATTTTAAAATTTAGCATTATGCATTGTTAAGGTAAAATTCAAGTCATCATAAACAGAAACCATTAAAACTATTAATACAACTATATAATTGTGGCGGGATTAGCGTTCCCGATTCACATGCTGGAGGTTCCGAGTTTCAATCTCCGACAAGAATTTGAAAAAAATATTAACTAGTTAAGTTGGAATAATAATAGAATTATGAATTGTATTAAAAAAGTTATGTATGTAATGATTGTATAGGATATATGATTGTATAGAATAATGTAGGTGGGTCAATGCTCGAGTAAGCGAGGCCAAAAAAAATAAAATAAAAAAAAAACTATATAATTCATTGACTTCATAAAATTCTCTATCTTACCTATCATTCTATTCCCCAAATCCGGCGAAGAACCGCCTCTGCTCGACCTATGCAAAAGACTTGCAGAGAGACCGACGTCCCCGGTAGCCGACGAAGGGAGTCCATGAGCGTGTCCCGGGGCACCCGACAGACCGTGACCCGCGGCCGACGGCCATAGCGTGGGTGCGTGTCCTGGCCATGGGTATCCCGCTGCCCCAGCGGCTGCCGCTGCTGCGTACGGATGCGGAGGGTAAAGGCCGTAGCCTGCTGCCCGTGCAAATTCGGCCGCTGCTCTTTCGGCTGCTCGGTTTCTTAAGATTCGGTTGATGGAGGATACTGATGGTGCTGTTGCGTTTGTGCAGACTCCTAGAATTAATATAATAGTTTATTAAACGTTTTAATATATATTAATTTTCAAGTACAAACGTATTAAGGACGCCATACATTCTTTCAAATTAGTTAATAAATTAGTTTGACATTTTTGAATAATTTTAGAACCTAAAGCTTGAATTATACAATTATAATAATAATTATTATTATCAATCATATAACGTAAAAAGGTAATTATTTTGAATTATTTAATAATAATAGTTTTGCAAGATACAGAATTAGCATAAAGCAATACATCATAACGAACAATAATTTCGGATACTTGTTATGTAAACGGACTTCATAAAATAATCAAGTTTTTTCTTTAACTTTAATTATAATATAAAAGCATTTCTTAGGATTTGAATATAATTTCTAGCTTAGGAATTTGCTGCTGAATTCTTTCGGTTCTATCATTTTTGATAAAATATGTGAAGTGGACTAATTTTTCAGTTTAAAAATTATATATACGATATATAATACTTCATTAAATATATCAAATACGGTATTACGTCACAATATAAAATTTTGATTGGTATTATATATTGTAACGACAATTGGTATTGTCGTCAAAAGGGTTGCATAACCTCCAGTGAAGGGCATGACAGTACGTAGGTATTGTCATGCCGTTACACCTGTAATAATTAGTAATGATTAAATAAGCTAAAAGTACATTCTGTTTCATTCGCGTAGTTAGTTGGCTTTTCCACAGGTAATTACAGGGTGTTTAAAGAAGTCGGGTTAAGGAGTTGGTGTAACCCTTTCGTTGGGGATGCAACGCTAAGACGTAATAATGGAAGTCGTTGCATATACCCTAAGAAAGGGAGGCGTCACCCCTTTTCTCGTCACAAGGTTAGTTGCAGTTGATCTTTTGAGAAAAAATTACGTTAAACGCCATGAGTGCTAAGTTACGCGTCGCGCTACGAGGCTGCGCCCTTTTGCATGCACCTAAAAGGTACCCAAATGTAGCAATCAGCTGCTTCTAAATATATGAGAAAGTTGAAGGCATTTGTACAGAATTCGATGCACCTATATAAAGTTGCTAAAAAAGTCGATGATTTATCAGAACGTGATTCAAATAAAAAAGAAGAAAATGAACAGTGAATGGGTATTTGCGGAATCCTGCTTTAACACTGCAGCAAGGACGAGCAAAATTAATAGCAAAATGTTTAGAAATATCTACAAAAATATCTACAAAACTATCTGAACCTTCTTCGTATTCATGATCTGAAATGGCGCAACACAACGGGGAAGCCTCTGACGACTGAAAAACATGTGCTTCTTTTCCGCTTGAGCACATGAAAATATTGTTAGAGATTTTGAAAATGTCATTTTCACTGATGAAAGTTCTATATGAGCACGTACTGCCCTCATCGAGCCGTTAAATTAAAATACGAGCCGTCGGACTAAAATAATCCGTTAAATTAGTAAAAAGCAGGCGTCGGAGATGCCAGGCAATTGTCGACTCCGGTGGTGACTGGACACATATTGACTAAAATTGCATCCTTGCTTTTAACGTAGACAATGCATATATAAATATTAAAGTTTCATAAAATGATTATTTTTATAAATTAACCCGACCACGCTCTTACTTGACCGACTGTATATAATCATAGTATTTATTTATTACAGCCACATGCCCAGATATAAAATAATCAAGTTTTTTCTTAAACCATTAATACATAATATAAACGCATTTCTTAGGATTTAAATATATTTCTAGCTTAGGAATTTGCTACTGAATTCTTACGGTTCAATCATTTTTTGATAAAAAATATGATGTGGACTAATTTTTTAGTTTGAAAATATATAGACAATATATAATACTTTACAAAATATTCCAAATAAGGTATTACATCAACATATAAAAACTTGTGTTCATATTATATATAATCGTTTATATTATATATATATATATATATATATATATATATATATTTATGTTATTTTATTAGCCTGGATATAGTTTATTCTAGCTCAGTGATTTTCTGTCGAAATATTATTTATTTATAGTATTTTTAACTTCTCGTAGGGTAAGTTATTGTAATGGGCCGAAAATCGAAATTGAAAATTTTTACATTTCTCGACGTTTTGAAGGTTTCTGAACATTTTGGCATACCTCAGAAAAATTGATGTATGTGTGTGTGTATGTATGTATGGATACAAATTTCTAGTCGCGTTTTCGGGCGCACGGATCAACCGATTTGAATGGTTCATAAAATATTCGATTCCTATTGATAGGGAGATGAGCTGATTAGTTTTTGGCAAAGACAGGCCCAGCAGTTACGGAGATAAAGAGCAAAGAGTGCAGAAAATGGAAATCGAGTTTTTGAGAAAACGGAGCATTCGATTTGAATGATCTAAAAAACATTCAATTAGTAATGATTGGGAGAAGTGTGTATAAGTTTTTGGCAAAGGCAGGCCCAGCCATTTCGAAGATACGGAGCTAAATATGTAACAAATGTCAGTTTTGAGAGAACTAAGCGTCGGATTTAAATGATTCAAAGAACTTTCTGCTTGTCTTGACAAAATAATAGATTTTGGAAAAAAAATTCTTATATATTTTTTTTTTTTTCTTGTATATCGAAAATAATTAAGATTTTATTTTTATCCTGACTAAAGTTCTAATATAACTTAAACAAATAATTTTAAATTTGCAATTCAGTTTATATACTTCTTATAAATATTAGACAATGTTACAATATTTATAATAATCTATTTGAAAACATTCAGTATTCCTCGAACATTTTGTTACGGTACGGGAAGTTCCAGCATTTGCCTTAAGGCACGGTGCTACCCCCCCCCACTAGTTAAATAATTCAAATTAGCTGTAGGCAAAATGTCCCAGTATAGACGTATCTTATAACTCAAGGTATAAGTTTTTGAAGTAATATCTAATAACATAAAAATTGTTTATTTGATCATCTTATAAATCAGTCATAAAACTAGACTATTGTGTTCAAAGTTTTTTACGTGACCCGATTTTTTTTCATGGTTTTATTCAATACCTGAGCTTAAATGATTTTATAAAAATACAAAAACACGCATGGGTGTGATTTTAGCTTAGTGATTTGCTTTTGAAATCCTTTACGTCTATTATTCTTTTTTTTTTCAACAAAAAGGGTTAGGGTCTAAAATCCTTATTTTTATGAACTGTGGAATTAGTAGACTACCGAATAAAGTCCTACACACTTAATCTTCTAAGAAAGTAATGCTGTAAAAATATACTCATACTTTTTATGTATTTGTCAGACATTGTACTGATGTAAAAAATAAAAAAAGTATATTGAATGAATTTGATCAACCGTTTTATAACGCGTGAGATTTGATATCGATTATTTACTCATTCAAGAATTGTAATATAATCTTCGCGTTGTAAACGGAAGCATGTTAAGGCGATGCTTTATAAATACATAGAAAACTAGATATGATGTTAATTTATTTATTCATAAGTAGTTGGAAGAATGTCTTGAGTGGACATTCAGAAATAATGTGACATGCGATATATAAAATGTATCATAATTTTTTTTTGAAATACAGGAGCATAATAACAAATTCTGTCATAAATGAACGCGTCTTTTACAAAAAATACAGAAAAATAAAAATTGATATTCATTCAAAATTTCGTATTTAAATGCTTAAATTAATAAAATGATATAAATATTTATGATTAAATTAGGATTTAACGTCATATTAAAAATATGAATATGAAACATCACAAAACAAATGGAAAATTTGTCCCAAACCCTCAATTTAAAAAGTCATTTACCATCTCAAAATAGTAATTATTTAAACAATTAAATGACAATTCCTCGGAACTATCACATACTACAGTTTTTTATACAAGCGACTGATACAAGTGTTTTTCAATGGCGAATAATTTTTTTTTCATTATAATCTTTAATTATTTTTTTAAAAAGTGCATTCGTCTATATAAGCATAACTAAGTGTTCATATAAATTCTCAAATTAGGTTCAACCCCAAATAAAAATCATTGTTTTAAACACTGTAGATTAATTTTCGTTTTCTAATTTCACAAATCTTAATCACATGTGATTATAATTACAATAATCTTGTTCATGGTATTAATTTGTTCCTAGCTACATATTTCTTAAGATTAGTAAAAAAATATAACCGTATGATGTCAATAACAAATCACAAGGTCCAAATCATATCCTTGCGTGTTTTTTGTATGACTATAAAATAATTTTAGTTGTGATATCAAATAAAAATTTAAAAAAAAAAAACTATCGACGATCGGGTCAGGACAAAAAGTGTGGAACACAAAGCCGAAGTCTTGTGTAGGCATGCATGCCCGATCATCTTTCCTCAAATCCGATGTGCCGGAGATATCCGTCATGTGTGAACATTTATGCGTTGTGATAGCTACTCATTCCAGTAAAGACGAGGATATTTAACATTGTAGCAGGATGGAATTTTTAAGAAAAATTAAATAATTGAGAGA